CAGAACCTCTTCAGTACTGTAAGTAAGAGCAGTACGAAAACACAAGAAAATTGGCTGAAGTAGGTCAAATTGCGGTACAGAGGTTGAATTGCAAGTCAACCTCTCAGCAAATTTAATCATGTAATTCCAAGGTACCACCTGTATCTCATTCAGGGCATTTATGTGTTCCTGAGAATGTTGGTAATACTGTAGTATGCTTGGTAATTAAGTATATGTTTTTAAGTAACATATACCATATTTACTTGGGTATCATGCGCACCTTTTTATTCAAATTTCAGAAGAAAAAAGGGGTGCACAGCATAAGTGGGCAAACATTTTTCAAGAAGTTATGTGTGCATTATGCTTTCTTATAATGAAGAAATTTGGAACAAGTTTAACAAGAAAACTTTTTTTTACTGAATAAGTTGAAAATTGATCAGATTTATGTGCAATCCATGTCTAAAGTCAAATTTTTTGTTTTTATTTTCGAAATTTTGTGGTTTTAGAGTCACTAAAAATTTGGGCGCACGTCTTACTTGGGGATAAGATTTTAGCAAAATTTCCAACTGAAAAACCCTTGTGCGTGCCTTACTCAAGGGCGCGTGGTACTCAAGTAAATACGGTAGTACAGTACAGTATTTTATAAATGTGCAATTATCTGTGACCTTCGATTGCCCGTATTCATTTAATGTATTGAATAAATAAGGTTTCAATATGAAATTTATGGGAACATGCCTGTGAATGTGAATTACTTTGGATCTTCATGAATAAATGAAGCATCTTGATTATTACATTATGGTGATTTATTCATCAGCCTTAAAATTTTTCTACTCGTTGACGTTTATTGGAAAACACTACTTTACTTCACAGTATTTTGGTTTCCCAGGTTTACCTCAGTAAACTGGATGATGATACGAAGGAGATCTTATCGCGATTGGTTATTCGTGAACGAGGCGAAAAATTATCAGAGAGTGATATCCTGAGATTTGCTTTGAAAAGTGGGGATGGAAGCAAACGTTTTTCCGGACGGAGCAAAAGAAAAAA